ACTTTTGTTACTATAAAATGGTGGGGAGAAAAAGAGATTACTTGCCCAAAGATATGGATTGATGTCGGAAAAGAAATTAAACTCTTCATAAACTTTGACTAGAATTCTGAAGGTATATGTGTGGCTATTACTTATGGACAAGAGAGACCTTCCCTTCAGATTTGTTCCACCAGAGGCATTTCCAAATTTTTTGTTTTTGTTCACACTGTAGAAATCTGTTAACTGGAGATTGGCCTGAACTTTTTGGTTGATGACAAAAGACCCTTGAAAAGTCATTGGAATAGCAGGAGTTCTTAGTCATTATCAGCTTGTGTGTGGTGAGTTTAAAGACATCACCAGCATTTTCCAGAGAACATATATACTAGAGAACCCTGTGTTCTCGAACATATGTAATTAAATGACTTTTAAAATTGCTGAGTGATATTTGAGATATAAGCAATGATGTGGCAGCAGCAGTATAATTTTATCTAATACCAATAGGAGGGCTTGTTCAAATTTAGAATCATTGGGTCAGTTACAGCATATTTAAGACGAAATAATTCTGTGGCAAAAGGCCCAGAGCCGGCAAGTACGCAATGGCGGAGCCCACAGTGATAGGCGCTTGGCCACCAGCAAACAGGTTAGGCTCGCTTAGGGAGCCCTTTATAGGGATTTTAAAAGGTGCCTTGTTGAAACATGATGTTCCTCTTTACTCTCTAGATACTTTAACATTAGTAAATTTTATGAGGGAAAAAAGATGAGAGTTTAACCACTGGGGAGATTTAGCAGTTTCAATTAGACAATTGCACCCTTTAAATTTTAAATTTGAAACCAGTGACTACTGGTGTTTGAATGTTCAGCTTTATTTTTCTAGTGGAGGTGACGTGTTTTTGTATTTCTGATCTCTGGTAAAACTGTGGGAGTCTTGCATTATGTGGGTATAACATACAGATGTATGCTCTGTTCCAGGTAGTGTACCTTGAGAGGCCTAACTATAATGAAACCTATTACAAAACAAATAAATATGTATAGGAAAGATCAATCAAGCAATTATTTATAGAAAAGATGCATTCAAGCAACTATGTATAGAAAAGATACATTGGAGAATTTTCCTGCCCACTAAGTAAAAGTTCTAGGTTCTAACCTCTCTTTATCACTAACCTGCCTGAGGTCATCCTAATAGTTGTTTTTTTAAAAAATGTATTTTATTGATTTTTTACAGAGAGGAAGGGCAAGGGATAGAGAGCCAGAAACACCAATGAGAGAGAAACATCGACCAGCTGCCTCCTGCACACCCCCCACTGGGGATGTGCCTGCAACCAAGGTACATGCCCTTGACTGGAATCGAACCCGGGACCCTTCAGTCTGCAGGCCAACGCTCTATCCACTGTGCCAAACCGGTTAGGGCCATCCTGATAGTTTTTAAATGGCTATTGTGTTATCTTGTCCTTCCAAAATCTCCTATAAGAATGTAATTCTTTCTTTTTCTTTCTTTCTTTCTTCCTCCCTCCCTCCCTCCCTCCTTTCTTTCTTTCTTTCTTTCTTTCTTTCTTTCTTTCTCTCTCTCTCTCTCTCTCTCTCTCTCTCTTTCTTTCTTTCTTTCTCTTTTTTGTTTGTTTTTTAAGAGTGCTTGACTCTGTCAACTACTGAGCCTTAATTTTTTTCTTAAAATTTTTAAAACATGAAGTATTTGATCTTGAAGGGCCCTTCCAGCTTAAAATCTTCAGCATTTGGTGATGTGGAGCTTAGAGTGTAGTTTTGTAGGTAGGAACAACTCCAGGTTCTAGGTCTTCTGCACCAATTAGTGTGTGTCTTGTATAAAAACGGTTTCTTTTGGGAAGGAAGGCCACCGAAGGCTTGGCCTGCTCATAGTCCACTGGACTCAAAAACATGGACATCGATAAAATAAAACCTACATATCTATGCCTTAGCTTCTTATAGGTGACTTGCCATTTTCTGATCTTCACAGCAACCTACAAGGTTTAGTTATGACTGCTTCTGTTTTTCCAAATAAAGAAGCTGGGGCTCAGAAAAGATGAGCAGCTTGCCCAAGGTTGTGAATCCGCATGCAGGTAAACCTTGCCTGTCTGGATCCCAGGCCTATACACTTCCAACTTCCCCAGCTGCCTACCTTCAAGCAAGGCCAACAGTTCTCTTGAAATTACCCTTCAGAGGTGTTTAGGAGTTGGTAGTGCTCTGGCCTTGTGTGACATTTTTGTGTGTGTTTTTTTTATGTTATATTTATTTTCTTTATGGAACCCGGGATGGGAAATCACTGGTTTAATTTTAGATGTTGACATTCAGACTATTGCTCGTATGAATGAACGTCAGGGCACTGAGCTGGAGGTGCATTTTCTAGTTGAAAATTTTCTATACCTCTTTTATTTATGTATTTTCATAATTTCTCGGGCTTCTGAGCCTACTATTCGTCTCATTAGGGGCACAGGGCTTCCATTGGTAAATTGTTGCAGTTACCTCATTTCCGCCAGCATTCTTTCCAGCCTGGAGCTCGCTCCCTCCTGTGGGTGATGTCAGGTCTGGGATCCATTCTGCAGGCTGTCTGTAGGTTGTTTATCACCATTAGCCCTCATTATTTTAAATGAGTACCCACCCACCTTATACTCTGTAACCACATGTTTCCAGAGCTTCTCTGGAGATAACATCTTGTAGCGCGTCCCCACCCCACTCTCTAACCTTACCCACAAAATGTTTTATAACCGAAGCCCGAAAGTATGAGAGAAAATACCTATAAAGAGAGAAGCTCTCAGGGTGTGTGCAGCTCAGGACAATTTGAAAAGAAGTGTTGCTCCTCAATCTGCAGCTTTGAAACAAAACTTCACGTCCTGTTTAACCCATATTAGTTTGTAAATACCGAGTCCCACTAATTGCCTTTATAGCTCACAGCAAAACGACCTGTTTTGTCTTGTTACGCTGAGGGTGGGAAAAAAGAGAGAGAGAAGTACATAGGTGTATGTGTTCTAAAAAATTGGAATGCGGAGAATAGTGTGGTGTAAAGTCTCTCCAATTATGTGTCTTTTTCTGGTGAGGCAATTAATCAGTTTTTCTGTTACTGTGATACGCACCTGAACTCAGGTGTGCCAACCCGAGAGGCAACTGCACGGAGGGCCTCCCTTTGCACAGTAATAAATTATGGTTATCCTTCTTTCTCCTTTTATTGGAATGACTCAAGAGCGCCAAAATTGTGTGATATTTTATAGAACCACTGCTCACTCAGCTTATTAGTTCACCTTTCCATATGCTTAAAAGTTTTGTTGTATTCTTAAGAATGATTTCAGTGGTGAAGGCCAAATGTGCTTACAAGTGGGAGTGACTCCCTTTTATAATGGCAAAGTTAATAGTCTTTCAATTTTGTATGATGGTACATTTTTTCAGAAACATGCCCTTTCCATAAAATGAAGCGTGTGTATTTTCATCAGGAAGGGTGTGCCCCTCCATGAAAACTACAGAAAAAGGTGAATCATGGGAGGAGTATATGTCAGGCTTGGAAGCCACCCAACCAATCGTCAAGCACTTTTAATCGTCGTAGAAATAAGCAAACTGAGGCCTCGTATGACGAGCAGCCGTGTGGCCAGGCCGGGAGTTGGGCCTGCTTGTCCTGACCCCTATTTTGGTGCCTTTGCTCCAGTATCCTTGCTTGAGTGTCTATGAAAAAACAAGTGTTTCTTCTTCCCTTCTGCAGGCATAATGATAGCTGACTAAAGTAGTGCCGAAGCCTGGGTTCAAAAAGAATGTATATAAATAATTACTTAACATTTATTAATTTGTGAATATGGAGAATTGTTTCTGGAGAAGTATATTAATTTCTTTTTCTTATAAGTTCCCTTTAATAGAATGTGAGTCGTTCTCAGTGATAGAAAATTTTGGAATGCATTTGAACCTCTATGGTCATAAGATTCATCTCAGAGGAGTTTCATGTTCTAGGAAATGTATATGATGGTTCCTGAATTGCTAAAGCTATTTATAATCCTCATTTTTTTGTGTGTGTTTTAATATATTTTTATTGATTTCAGAGAGGAAGGGGGAGGGAGGTAGAGATAGAAACATCAATGATCAGCTGCCTCCTGCACGCCCCCTACTGAGGATCGAGTCCGCAACCCAGGCATATGTCCTTGACCGGAATTGAACCCAGGACCCTTCAGTCCACAGGCCACCGCTCTGTCCACTGAGCCAAACCAGCTGCTAGGGCATATAGTCCTCGTTTTAATCGTCAAGCAAAAGTGCTCTTCCTGAGATTCACTGATGATTGTGCCAAGGTCTTGGGGGCAGTAACCCTCCTTTTTAAAAATCTTACCAGGACAGAGGGTTTGCTTTATATTTTGACTATCACTGGAGGATTCAAATGATGCTTAGGAGACTCAGAATTTCCAGTTGAGATCATGGACTGGGGTTCACCTCTCCTGTTGTTACACCACTTGCCCAGTGGCGGTCAGGAGATGATTTAGTTCAGTAAGCCCCAGCTTCCCCATTTGTAAAGTGAGATTTTATATGCAGTCTGATGTTACCTGTTACTGTGGTTGCTGTTTCTGGTGCTACATTTATTGCTGTTCCCAAAGTTTTCCAAACCTGCCTTAGGAAGGGTTAGTAACTAGAAGGGATGCAATTCCTTTTCTAAATTCCAGTGAGAAGGAAGATGATGGAAGGCACTCTCCTACCTTGGCACTGAAGTTGTCACTTCCTTCAAAAGAAAATTTTATCTGACTGAAGTGTTACTGTGATCTGATTTTCGTGTGCTTGATTTCTCTTACACTTTTCTTTTTCACTTACTTTTTAAATGTATATGTTTTTATTTCAGAGAGGAAGAGAGAGGGAGAGAGTGATAGAAACATTGATGAGAGAGAAACATCAATCAGCTGCCTCCTGCATGCCCCTCACTGGGGATCAAGCCCGCAACCTAGGCATGTGCCCTGACTGGGAATCAAACCGTGACCTTCTGGTTTATAGATCAATGCTCAACCACTGAGCCACACCAGCCAGGCTCTCTTACACTCTGTTATACCAACATGTCTAATCTGGTAAAGGGAAGGTCACATGTGTGAATTTTCATGGTGAATTGCAGACAGGAGAGACCTGAGGGGTCAGCCATAGACTTTAACATGAGACCAGAGGCAGAAGAACCTGCGTGAGGCAACTTAGCCATTGCGTACTGGGACTGTCCCTCATAAGGGTGCCTCAACCTGTCTTTCATGGTGTCGATGTTTAGTGGAGTATGGAAGGGGAAAGCCAATCCAACAGACAGTTGCCAGGGAAGAAGGAAATGGTTAATAAAGTAGTTTTAAGCTGTTGGAACTAGTTAATTGTTGCATTACATCGTCAAGTAAGTTCTCTCCTTTCTGCTGCCTCTCTAAGGAAGAACTGGGAATGGACTGCATACCTGTCATGTAGGCACTTGTCTCTAGCCCGCATCTGTTCATAGGCTAAAAATGAAATCCACTCACAGCTATTACCTGGAGGACTTTTATAGGTTTTGTAGAAATATGACGAGGGTACAGCTAGGACCTGTTTTATTGTTCTTGACAATGGCTTAAGAAGCCATCCTTGCCAGCAAAATTATTTTTATATCAAGTCCTCGGGTACTTATTTGCTTATTTATTACTTTTTAAATCAGATACAGCACGTTTAATACCACTGGGAAGCCACACTGGCCCACTCATTGTATGTAGTTTGAGACATTTTCCCCAAGAATCCTTAAAGGGGGGCCATCAAGGATTTGGGTATGTTTCTAAATGAAAAGATTTAATTTCTCTGTTTTTTGCATCCTGAAGCCAATTTATGACTATTCCTTGTCTGTCTTTATGCCCATTTTTCTTGTTTCTTTACAAACACTCCGCCCCTAACTATTTTTCTGTTAAATTAAATGCCTCAAGTCTAATGTCACTGAGTTAACAAAGTTCTTAATTTTGTTTTCCAGGGATATCAGTATGAACAACATTACTCAATTACCAGAAGATGCTTTTAAGAACTTCCCTTTTCTGGAGGAGCTGTAAGTATCACAGGGAGAATTGTTGTTTGATTGTGTTTTTTCTCTTCTCTTTGGAAGCTTACAACAGGGATAGTCTAATGTGTCCTGTTAGGGGACATACAGATAGCTTCAGTGGGCTCTGTGCAGAGGAAATCATGCATTTTTGGGGAAAACTAACTTGATTTTTTAAGTAGTGTAATTGCTGACGTTATTTTTTTGGTGGTGGTGGTGGGGAATTCTTACCCTTTGAGACAGCATGGAGGGACCTGGACAGTATTATGCTAAGCGAAATAAGCCAGTCACAGAAAGACAAGTATCACATGATCTCACTCAGATGTGGACTCTAATGAGCAAAATAAGCTGAAGTTATTTTCAAAAGCCAGAACTAAAACTGCTACTTCCATAGACATTTTTTTTTTTTGCTGCAATTATTATAACCACGAATGCTGTTGCAGTGACACAAGTTAATTACAGTGCTATTTGGAGATAACAAGGCTGCTGTGTAATTACCATTGTTGCCAAAGGAGTTGCTGTATGGGTAACACAACCATAAAGAATAATACAAGGCATCGCAGGGTCCTGGTGCAGCCAGCAATATTGACGTGAGAGAGCAGAAAACGGAGTGTGGGTCCCTTTGGGCTTTTGCAAGCGACCTTTGCGGGTGGGGTGGATGCATGGAACACCTTCCGGGACTGCAAGAACACCTTTGACTTTAAGAGTGTCTCTGAACCTCATCAGTTGCACCTCACATTGCCAGCCTAACAGTGTACATTGTGGACAGTTTCTTTCCACTTGTTTTAACCTCCATTTTGTTTTGGTCTCCCCACTTTTTTGCAGTTAAAACTGGCACATTTAGGTTTTAAAGGAGTTGGGAACTACATAGTGTTATATTTTAAGGAGCCAGGTGGAAAAAAGTAAAATCAGACTTGAATCAAGTTAAATATAGGCTTTTCATGACCAGGCTAATTGATTATGTAGTATGTGGAGGTAAGAAGATTACAGTTTGATATGACACACATCAAAGAGATACAGCCCTGAAGGAATCTACATTCTTGTTACAGATTTGAGTCCTGCAGCCCAGCTGTTGAGTATTAGGTGCAAGTCAGTGAACGTCTGCTATCTTAGCTCGGCCCCTCCCCCAGCCGGGGCACAGGAATCAAATATAACACAGGCAGGCTGTGCTCCCTGCTTCCGACGGAGTATTGAAATCGCAGTTAAGGATTTAATAAAGTTGAGGAGAAAGTTTTCTTCCCACACTACTTAGTTGAATGTAATGTTCCCAGAGCCAAAACTGAACAGGGATTATTTTCACTTCCAAGCTTGTGAACTGGGTCAAGTTTCTTAACTTCCCTCTGCTCAGTTTCTTTGTCTCTAAGGTACAGATATCAACAGTCCCTACATCGTAATATCGTGGTGAAGATAGAATGAGTTAATAGATGTTAAATGCTTAGGACGGTCCATGAAACAGAGGTTATATAAATGCTAGCTACTATTTATTTTACTATTTCAAAACTACATTAAAAAAAAAAAAAAGCAGTGGCGTATATACCAAATATTATCTTTGGGTAAAAGGATTAAATGTATGTTTTATTTTGGCCTATTTTTCTTTAGTGAACATTCATTCTCTTGTAATAAATACTTATTTTCATTAATTTGTAACTGAATTTAAAAGGAGTGAACTATGTATTTGAGGGCCCACTCCTTATTTCTCCTAATCAAGCTTTAAGATACTTTACCTATTCCTTTTTTTAAAAAATCCTCACCCAAAGATGTTTTCATTGATTTTAGAGAGAAAGGTGGGGAGAGAGAGAGAAACATCAATGTGAGAGAGAAATGTTTATTCATTGCCTTCTACATGTGCCCCAACCAGAGATTGAACCTGCAACCTAGGTATGTGTCCTGACCAGGAATCAAACCTGTATCTTTTGGAGTACAAGGTGCTCCAACCAACTGAGCCACCTGGCAAGGGTCTATTCCTTTTTATTTCATGTAGAGTTTCAGACTTAGAATTAGTCTCCCTTTATAGAAGTAATGATGCAATGAAAGGACATTAACAAGCGGGTGTCCAGCCATCTGATGCCCCTGTGGGATGTGGGACGCCCCAGGTGGGGCCTGGAGAAGGTCTCCTTCCTTTGGGTGGGCGGTGGTGTGCAGACCCCCTTTACAGAGGCCTTTGACTGCCAGCTCCACTCTGAGAGGTTCGTAGTGAGGACCTGGATGTGGAGTCAAACCTGCTCAAGCTCAGCTTTGTGACGTTCACATCTTAGATTTCTTAAAATCTCAAATGACCAAGCCTAGGTCAAGCTCATGCGTGCTGTCAACTGAGACTTTTAATTGGAACCAAATTGAATGTGCCCGCTTGTTCTTTGGAGCGAGGTCATGTTCTCTCCATATTCTGCTATTGTAGTGAGGAGAGCCCATCAAATCAAGCCAGGACACTTTCTCCAAATATTGTACAGGATTTCAAAAACACATTCAGCCTGGCCAGTGTGGCTCAGTGGTTGAGCATCAACCTATGAACCAGAACATCACAGTTCAATTCCCGGTCAGGACACATGCCCAGGTTGCGTGCTCAATCCCAGTGTGGGACTTGGAGGAGGCAACCAATCAATAATTATTTCTCATCATTGATGTTTCTATCTCTCTCTCCCTCTCCCCTCTCTAAATAAATAAAAATATATATAAACACACACACACACACACACACACACACACACACACACACACACACATATTCAGTTAGGGCAGCTGGTGGTTAATTTCAAAGAAGAGGTCAGAGTAGTCTTTTATACTCTAGGAATACTTTAGACATTCAAGGGGATTTCCACCCCCCCCCCACTCCCCGCCATGTTAATATAAGCATGGTAAAAAAAAAACACACCCGTGTATTTTCTTTATAAAACATTGTAGTTTGATTTTGACATTCCAAAATGATGCTGCCATGGCTATTGTAATATTTCATAAGCAGCGGACCATTAATCAAGAAGTCATCTGGAAGTCATTTAAGCGTCACTGCGAAGCTGAAGTCCCTGTGGAGAAATGAATGCTTCACGGAGGGTGGGTTTTTTCCATGATACTTAATGAGGTGTGCTTTACAAGATGTGATCAGTTTGGCCAAATTTTATGATAACCCAGAATGCTTTGAATATTGGGTGGAATCCGTTCCCAACGACATATGAGACGTGTTTATAGATATTTACATATTCACTTAGTCTTTCAACAAGCACTGGATCGTGCCGTTTGCCAGATCCCGTGGTGGTGTCAAGGACAAGTCAGTGTGGTCTTTGGAGTTGACAGTCTACATAGACCTGTGCCATCCAACAGCACCACCACGAGCCACAGGTGGCTATTTAAGTTTAGATTTAAAATAATTAAAATTAAATAAAATTGAACATGTATCTCCTGAATCGAACAAGCCATTTTTTCCAATGGCTAGTGGCTGTGTATTGGACAAAATAGATATAGAACATTTCCAATATTGCAGAAAGTTCAACTGGCCAATAATGGTTTAGAGCAGCGATGTTCAGCCTTTTTCATCTCATGGCACACCGAAACATAGGTTATATTTTTTGCCGATCTGAAAAAAAAAATAGGTATACTTTTGATTCATTCACACTGGACAACCATTGTTGTGTTGGCTGTTGTCATTTTTTATTTGACCATCTAAGGGGAAAGAGGCCAGTGCCCTTGACTGAATGGTCAGGTGTGGCATGTTTTAAAGATGCTTGCGGCTCACGGGTTGGAAATGGCTGGTCCAGAGGAGGAGATGGAGTGGACACTTGGTGCAGAGTCTGTGAAGACTGTCACAGATGTGTGTGCAGGGTCAGGGGAAGCCTAAAGCAGCAGGCTTACTTGGGACTGTAGGACTTAAGAAAGGCTTCCCAGAATAGCTTCTGCTGAGTCTTGAAGAACACGTGGGAATGAGCCGGATGAGGTTGGCTCGCAAGGGTGCTCCAGAAGGAACCTGATGGCATGTGCACAACACAGAGGTAGACATTTCAGACGCATTAAAACACGTGCAATGGCTAGGGATGCCTATTGGAGAACAGGGAAGTTTGAAATATTGAAAGACAGGGAAATGTTAGGAGATGAGGCCAGATCATGAGGGACTTGTTAAGCTAAGGAGTGTAGACTTTTATCCTGAAGGAGAGGTGAATTGCATAGGAGAGTGAGTAATGGGGATGAGGCTACACTTTTTGCTCTGAATGACTGGATGCCATTCACTGAGACTGGGAACGCCGAGAGCCAATCAGTTTGGGTCATGAAGAATTCAGTTTTATAAAGATAATGATGCTAAATAGCATGCATATCGAGTTTTACAATGTATAAAAGTTCATTCTCATTACAGTGCAGAGAAGCGGTTTTATAAAAGCAGAAATGGTGCTGACGAGGTCAAGTGCCTCATTCAAGTTCACGGGTCTGGTTTGTAGTTTTGCTGGGACTTGAAAATCAGATCCCCAGAGCCCTGTGCTTTCTGAACACTGTGGGTGACATGCATGTTTTCGCAGGGAAATATTTCACCCAATTTTTTTAAGTGAAATGTACTTTAAATACTATTGGTGCCGGTTTTATTTTCACATTTAACCTACTTTTGAAAGTTTTACAGTTTATAAACATCATAACCCAGTGATTACACACTGCTCTCCCCAGAGGATACAAAAACATAGGTTTGGCTCTAACTTCTACATACAAAGTGCAAAATCTTGGGACGGTCTTGAGGTTTGCACCTCAGATTTGTATCATGTAAAATGGGACTCCTTACCGTAGAATTGTGAAGGGAAAATGGGGTAATTTTTGTCAACATGCTTTGTGACCATAAAATGCTATGTCCACTATTCCTCTTAAACATTATAGTCTTTCTTTCTCTTAAAGTATTTGGGGGAGAGATTGTTTTGTTTGGGATGGGTGTTGGAGAGGGCCAATATCGGTTTGTGTTAAGGATGTGAAAGGAAAGTCAGAATTCTTGGAAAACGTTTGTTTAGCATCCACAGGTTTTGTTGTCTGCTGTGACGCTGCCACAA